TTATTTTTAATCATTTCTATATATCGCCATAGCTTTTACTCAATACATCGTTAATTTAATTAAAATAACAGAATTAAATGATTCAACACAAGAAAATGTACTAAATTTTAATCAAATTTAGTTTAGTGCACTTTATTATTAAGTTATATACATTAAGGCTTTTACTTAAAAACTAACTACAGAAATAGATTGATTTCGACGCACATAAAATTTAAAAATAACAAAATGTTATTTAACTCAGGGTATTTGGGTTATCACTGCTCGTTTTGATGTTTAAAGGTGCACTTATAATAATTTCATCATCACAAATAATTTTAGCGGTTTCAACAACGATATTATAGCGCTAAAAGTAATAAAATATGTAGGATTGAATATGTTTTTTATCGATCTTTATTTCGAATCAAATTAAAAATACATTTATATTAATAACTAATATGAGCTATTATATATATTTAAACGTGTTGGATAATATTATTTAAAAATGGGTCAAATGATTATACGTTTGTGGTCATCTAAACTTGACTTTAGAACCATCTAATAATTCTAATAGAAACTCACACGCTTATAAACATTGTAAAAAACACAAACATATTCCTTGACCATAAAAGAGAGTGGGCAATATCTCGTGGATATCGATCGGATGCTTCTCTTAACGTGTCCGAATTTCTTCGCGCGCGTACAACAAAGATCGAAGTCTCGACGTGCCCGTGATTTATTTCGTTGGACACTTTTCTGGGAGGAACGTGACTGGAAGTACGGGTTAGCCAATCCCTTAAATCACTGAAGCAGCACTGGAGAGTCGAAATCGGTATCTTGGTTGCTATATTCCGCGCACGATTGAGCCCGAATGGCGTTTCTACGATGCTCTATCATCGTACCTTTGTCTTGTGGCTGCAAACGATAGTCACCGCAAAGTTAGAACCCAATATCGTCCTCGAAAAGGAAACGAGACTCGAAATACGTGCGTGACTGTCAGAGAATATCGCGCGAAAATGTTTTCTCATGCATTACCTCGACATTCTATAAAAGGTTAAAGGAATTTTCTATTTTGAGAAGAGCGAAAAATAATATTAAAATATATTTTATTCTGTATAAAAATAATCATAGTTGCCAATTGATGAATTTTCTTTTTAGTCCTTGTTACATGGCTGACATATTTCTGTGTAAAGATTTAATAACGATATAACTTTTCGTAATATACTGGCGGCTTCTATAGGTATACTTCTCTTGCATAAAAGCGGAAGAAGATACTAACGAGACGAAAAGATGAAACGGTTGGTCTTTACGGCGATGTAGTGGGAGGTAAACTAAGCCAGCGCGCTTTAACGACAACGTTCAAGATTTTAATACCTCGTTACGTAAAGTCCGATCTTTCAACTTTTTGCGATGCGACGTCTTTAGGGAACTCCTTTGAGGCCCAAGGTTTCCTCGAAAAGCTTGGTAGGGCGATTCATCTTTACAGCGGCGAGCTAAATTTCATTAGTTAATTACGTGCCAGAACTTCGCCAAGATTTTCTTCTTAGGATGCTGATCTTCGCTGCGCGACTTGTGTAACACGAGTCTGTATGCGCGATGACGTTTCCACAGACGCGAACGTGAGTTATTTCAGGAAAACGAGTGTCCGATTTCAGAGATCTTTCCATGATTAAAGTCCTTCGTTTAGTTGGCGCGAGAGCTGTTCGTTTCGTTCCGAAACACAAACGCAAAAGTGATAATGACGGAACGGCGGGGATAAGTATTGATCGCGCTTTGCGGCTGGCCAGTAGTTACGGGCCGGTGCGGTCAAACAGTCGTAATAGAACCGGTCGTGGTTAGCCAGTAGTAAGAGCGTACCTGCGGTCAGACAGTTAGTATCAGGTCCCGCTGCGGTCTGATACGAGCAACTGTTCTACTTCGTCATACTATGCTTCTGTTTTGAAACTTTTGATGGTTGTATCGCCAGTGTTATTTTAGTTTGAAAATGCAAATATATATATATATAGTATAATATATATATACATATTTGTATATATACACACACATACATCTAACCCAATTATAAAATTTTAAATACAGCGCAATTTTTTTCTTTCATCTTTTGAATATAAACTTGTAGTGTTTTTCTTATGTACAATGTTATTTTTCACGTTTTTAACAAACATTAGACGGACTACATAAAAATTTGCAATCTATGCATATTTAATATAATATCAAGAATATCAAATTACATATTAATTATTATTATGATGCTAAAATATAATATCCGTAATAATAATATATGATAACAATATGAATAGGATGATTGAAAAGACAATATGGTACAGAAACTATGAAAGCAATTTCAAAGTTGTTTGTTGTACCTTTTCAAAGGGATGCAGGAATAAAGCTGACTAAACGCTTAAAACTAAATTGATTAAAGGCATAACTATAATTTAAAAGTCACACAAATAAATTTCTCACCTTGAAGAAAAACTGTTTATCATTTTTTCATAAGTAAATTAACTTTTTTAATTCGACTACAATTTTCCTTAGTCATGTCTCATTAGAAAAAATTTCGATATTCTATTATTTTCAAATCAATAATTAAAAACAAAAAAAAATATTAATGAGAGCTTTACAAATTTTATTATCTTAATAGAGTTGTGTGTGTGTGTGTGTGTGTGTATATTTGTTTGTATTATATCGTAGTTATATATACACTACATAACTGATGCAGATATATACATATCTTTATTGCATAAAATAAGATATTCTAAAATCAGATAATTTTCATTGTTTGCATATAGACAAAGAGAGTTTGTAATTATTTGCAGACCTCTCTTCTGTGTATGTCTGAGAAAGCTTCAATGATGACATGAATAAAAGATATGAGAGGAGAAATTCGCGTAGAGTAGAAAGTTGCGCCGACGAAGACAAATTGCGTTACAGAATTCTTCAGAGGAAAAATATAAATGATTATACGCAAAGGGTGAAGAAGAATGAAGCTGGAAATAGAGACGTTTGTAATGCACGACGATTAATCTCTGTGTTTTTCAGATCAAAGACAGGTACCAGCTGTTAAAATATATTTACCTGTTGTTTATCAAATAATGTCGGTTTGCGTACGTAGATCGAGGAAATATTACCGATGTAGTTGCCTTTGTTTATTTAATCGCATAATTGGTAGCGAGACTATGTCAATGTCTGTTTAATATCCGAGTGTGATAACGTAATATCGACGTTACAATACGATGTACTTCATTCCATGTAACAGGAATGCAGGCGCACGCTGCTATGCTTGGAGAAACCGGTTAGAACAAACAAGAAGCTCCTAAGTATACAGCCCTCATGCTATGTATTTCGAACCATTGCGTATATCAAAAACTTGCAAACCGTGGGTGCAGTAGAGAAACAATAAACTTTGTTAGTAAGTAGGTATAAATGCGGAAGTGTGGTCCGTATGTTGACTTTTAAACGGAACTTGAGCATTGCTGTTAAAATAAAACTTTTATGAAATTGATCGTTTCGCGTTAAATAAGAGTTCGCATTGTTGCTATATATATCTATAATAAAAAATAAACATACACTAACTTGTAATATAACTAGTTTCGCCATGAGATCTGTCCTGCGATCGACGTATGCGCGCTTTTTGCTTGATCTAGAGCCAAGGTAGAGACAGGATACGCCTCCGACAACCTATGATCCTTGACACCTGGAAACGAGCCAAGCGCAGGTCCTCCGAGGGCGTCGAACTTATGCCGCCGGCAGGCTTCCAAAATTATAGCTCGACTGCGTCAGCAACTACGGTGTTTGTTTTCATCTCGATGTCGCCACGATCCATATATACTTTTCTACGTTCTTCACGTCGTCCTATTTTTTCAGTCTTGTCTGCTGTCTCGCGATAGCGAATAATTTCTCAGCAATTAATAAAATCCATTCGTTTTGATAGAACGACTCGATAGGGGATCTCTCGACGCACGTCTCTCACGCGCACGTATCAAAAGTCGATATTAGTTTTACTAACTGACGAATATAACATCAGTTACTTTAATCTGCTCAAAGAAAACGGCGTCCCTCGGTTAGTTGCGGCGAAAAGGAAACGGTCGGAATGGTTTTCTAAAATCCGATTACTTCGGCCGACTTAAGCGGATTTTCGTAGAAACTACGTCACGTCCGCGTTTGAAATCCGTTGTGCTCATAAACAAAAAGATGACAGAATTCATCTTCCAACGTTTCTTTGTATCCGGCAACAATGAAATTTGTTCCCTTTCTCAAGTAAGGATGATTTTGTGTAGATGCAGAGCAGTCCTTTGATGCAGAAACGCTTTGTAAAACACAGGGGTTTTAATTTTTGCTTTGTTAATGGGTGACATTGTCTTGTAGGATGCACACAAGTTGATAAATATACACGAAAAGAATGGTTTTTGCTTTTGAAATATCTACAGAGTTAGCTAGATGCGCACCAGAAAATAATTTTGCTGGATTATCAAAATAATTATGTTATATAAGACATTCAACCTAATAGCTAAAATATAAAAACTTTTTACAGCATTGCTCATCACATTTGAATTTCCTATATAATTATTTTGATGATCCAACAAAATTATTTTCAGATCTAATCTAGTCTAAGTTTTTGAAGATTTTAACAAAACCGTTCTATTCGTGTGACAGTACAATAATTTAATTTATTCTATATTTATTTTATTCTGCAAAACCGTATCGTGGGAATTATTTTCGTAGATATTTGTATTTTCAATAAAAACGTCAGTCTTTATTTAAATTTCATATCTGCGATTTCTAAATAAATTTTAATTATTTATGGGATGGATCCAGCGCTACACTTTCTTTTTTAGTTTAATTTATTTAATTAACAGAATCATTATCTGTTATTTGTGATCTGTCTTTCATCTGTAATCCCCATTTAATTAAAATATGCACCGCGATATTTTCTTACATTGATCCGGATATTTTTAAATAGATCCAATATCACAGTGGCTTATCAATATCATATTTAATTCAGATTCTATTCCAATTAATTTTAGGTTGAACTACTTGATGGCGGGATTGAGTCCCATGTGGTATCACGCCACGAACGTCGCCTTACACGCCGCTGCGTGCATCTTAGTCACCAGAGTGAGTCTCGTGGTAGCTGCACTTCGGCCGGGATTCGCAGCGCTCACCGGGCTGTTATTCGCCGCACATCCTGTACACACGGAAGCGGTAAGTGACAAGTTTCGAGATGTCCCAGGAAAAAATGAAAGCATTTTTTGCCAAATATAAATCTTTTAAGCGAAATAGATTGTTATCCACAAACGCTTTAATCATTTGTTGTCTAGTAATTTTGTTTGTTTATCGTTAACTACTATTCAATAGCATATTCGCGAACATGTACTTACGCGTTGCGCGATTCGCAGCACAATGACAAATTCATCCTAAACCAAACAAAACAACAAGATTAGTAGAGTCCACTCACCTCGTAACCGCTCGAATCTGCGTGCGCGAATAGAGTCTGGCTGATCCGCTTTTCCTAAGTGCATAAACGTAATTAGCCTAATCTTATTATGGCTATGATCGTGACGGACAGAATTTGAAGTGTTCGTTCATGTCGCTGGTAAGGGAGGGAGAGAGGAGACGAGAGAGAGAGAGAGAGAGAGAGAGAGAGAGAGAGAGAGAGGCAAGAGGGAAGGGAGAAAGAGAGATTGACTGTTGCTTCAAGATAGACTTGTTTTTGTTGTAATCAACGTCGACGCTTATCGGCCATAAGAGAAATAATTTGTGCGCGCGTTACTTTAGATGAATCGTAAGTTTTCTTTTGAACTATAATATATATAAACTAGAGAGGAATAGTATTAGAGTTCCATCAAGTATTTCTGCACGGCATCAGCGAAAATGATAAACTTCGTCGTTAACAATATTACCCTACTTAACCCGCTTTACTTAAGCATATAACTATAAAGCTTTGTCCGCCGTTATTGCACAAATTATGTTATTATGTATGGAAATGGAAGTTTATAGAGCGTTAGATTAGGAAGTTGAGAAACGGCATGGAACAATATGTTGGTGATTATAATGCGTTCGTTAAACGTCGAAGTTTACATAAACGGGAGGAACTCGCTCTCGATATTCTGCATAATCATTGAAAGATCATGTAGCTGTCAATATACTTATATATTGATAATTTTATATTAAGTTCTTCATTCCTGCACTAAACTGTACTAGTCTCTTCTTTCTCATTTTTGCCAAATATCAAATATATATCTTTTATTATATTATAATATTTTACTTCAAGTTCCAAAAATTATATTTAGCTATAGAAAATAGATTTATTTGTTCTAATTTATTTGTTCAATATAATTATTCAATATAATTATACAAATAATCATTTGATTCAAATGATTATTGATATAAAATAATTGTTTTGTTTCGAATTCTAGTTTTGAATAACAAACGTACTTACCAAATCATCGTTTAAATAATAAAAATATTTTTGTTGCTTAATTCGTGGAATATATTGATATCTTATTTAAAAATTTTTTAATTTATTATCTTTGACTTTTGTCATGTTGTCGATGTTTCCCCAAGATAAGCGATATTCTACTCAACTCTACTAAGTAGCCATTTAATATGACATACAATTTGTACATCTCGAAATTTTTCCATTTCAGTTAAGAAACAGCTCTAACTTAATATCCTCCTTTTTCGGAGTGAAATTTCACTCCAAGAAAAGTGACAGTTGCACCAGTCCAGCAAGAGCGAATTTCATTTTACTTCTTCAAAGAGTGAATTTCCTAAAAGGTCAACTTTAATGATTAATATTTCGCTTGACGAAGCAGAGCGACACTTTTTTATACCAAATTCGTACGTTTTGTGCAAAAACACGTCAAATGAATCTAATTTTGTCAAGATTGGATGTAGGGGGGTTAAACTTAATGTTTACTTTTAGTCTCTCCTTCCTTTTGGAGAGTGAAATTATTTACTCTTTACAGAGATTGAAAATTGACTCTTTTGTTTGGAGTGATTCTTCACTCTCCAAGAGTGAAATTTTACTCTCCAAAATTTAGAATGTACACGGCTTTTATTTTTTTTAAATCGATATTACTATACAGATTTATTTGTGACTAAACGAATCATGAAGCAATACATCATGATCAATACGTCGTAATTTTTTGTAATTATGAATAAGCAATCACAAGAAGAATGTATAGGAAATAGATTGTATAGATATCCAGATAAAGGCGAATTCCGCGTCATTAGCAGGGGATCGTGCCTTTTGAGCGGAATTACTGGCGGCACACGACACTGGTTTGCAAGTCCCGGTCTGCCCATTACAAGCTCGACCTGCTTGCCGGTCACGCACTGCATCCTGTTACATCACGTGCGTGCGGTATTGCATGTATTACTCGTTGCGTGCGCTGCCAACCCTCGTTGCCAGTGTCACTATTGTGATATCATGTTCATGTCGTACGCGGACGGCCAAGTCAGATAATAATGTGTACTCAGATCAAATACTCTACCATCCGTGATTATTTTTGCACGGAGTTGTAAAATATACCGCAATTACATCTCGCATGCAGCGGCATTTTTTCTACGTTATTACCGCATGTAACATTTTTATCGTTTTTAATTGCTGCACCAGATAGGATCTGACTGCAGAATCAGATTTCATAAACATCTCCTGACCGAGAATAATCAGTGTCATTCCCAGATTTGGAAATGGTAGGAAGAGCGTCATATGCGATGCGGTATATATAATGTTATGTATTTCAACTGATTATGAGATGTTAACGATGCACTGGTGCAAACTATTTTTATTTACATTAAATGTTAAAATATTTTCACATCAGTTAACCATTGTTTTGCCTCTATCGTTACACAGAACTTCTTACACGAATATCATGAAAAATTCTCATGCTTTTTGGATTTATACTCTTCTGTCACGAAACCTTCATTAGCTCGATATTAATAAATTAAACCATGTCATGTGTAGTATCAAATTTACACGAGGATCGGAAATCTTTCACCTCACACGGGAAACATGATAAGTTTAACCTCCGATTATTGGCTCTTATTTCGTCTGTCGCCGTATAATACGATCTGTTATCATATCGCTGTTTTGACGGCAATCGCTAATTCTCTGTCAGTCAAATAAGTTAACATAGTTTGATTCCGTTTGTTGAAATGATCAGCCGATGGAAGCACTGTTAGTTCCTGAATTAAGTCTTTCGTTGAGCCGCTGAAAGGAATTTCTCACTAATTAAGTACAACGCCATTGAAGCTTTGGCTTTTGGTTCGATGTAAACTGGTCCGAACAAAGGACGCGTTTGCGAGGATGGAAGAAGAAGGGTTATATCGGGTGAAGAGAGATCGCCAACCGTCATTCTGGACTTCATCGTTCGGTCACCAAACGCGGAAATCTCTGCGATCGATCAATTACCATGCTCGTGTTGCCGTTCGTTACATAGGCTATATTCTACTTGTGCTTGTACGACTAATTAATTGGTAGACCATCGGGTATTTACACCCGTTTGATGAGTTGATTTTTTACATATTATACATAAGTTTGTTTATTATTATTATAATAACGAGTGATTCTTCGGGATCATTCGTTTTATGTACACTCAAAAAAGAATTGTTTAATTTTGAGATATTCAAATGTTTTATTCTTGTCTCCATTTTTTTAACATTTAAAGATTTTAGTTTTAAACTTTTTTAATAAACAAAACACTATATATTTGAATTGAAAATAATATATTTTAAATCTAAACACATACACTCTAAATTTCTTGCGTGACGTGAAGTGAAATCTCCAAGAGAGTGAAGATCACCCTTTAAAAAAGTGAAAATATTTAACTTCTTGGAAAAAAGTGACAATCGTCATTCTTTTTAGAATAAAATCTCATTTTTTCGAAGTGAGATTTCACTCCTTTGAAGTGAAAATTTTACTCTAAAAAGAGTGAAAATTGTTACTCTTTTTGAAGAAGTGAAATATTTTCACTTTTTTTCAAGAGTAGTTGTATTTTCACTTTCTTGGAGTGAGATTTCACCGTAAGAAATTTAAAGTGTAATATTTTGTTTGTTAAAAAAGTTTAAAACTAAAATATCTTTAAGTGTAAAACACACAATATTCATACAACACATTATGTTACATTATCACACGGATGTGATAAAAATTCGACGCAAAAATATTAACAAGGATCGGTTTCAACACAAATATAACATGTTTTCTACTGTGTAGAAACACAGGCCACTTTGTAGCTATTTGAAAGTAATCTCCGCGATAAGGTCCAAATTTCTGCATGTTGGATTTACCGAAGATAATATGTTACTGATGACTCACGATGTATGTAACAAGATCGTGTATCATATATTGATTGGATTGGCTTTCAGCAAACTAACGAACGTTTATATACAGCTGTTGCAATAACACATCAAAGATAATCACGGTTTTGCTCGAATTACATCCGTTGCACGTCTGATTCAAAGACTGCTTGTTACAATCTCTTATTTTGTTCAAATCCGTACAAAATACTCAATTCCCGTTTGCCTTTGATTGGTTAAATATGCAATTGTCAGAAAGGATAGTACGTGAATTGAACAGGATTTTTTTAAAAGGGTTTAAAGCGTAAAAATCTCGTTTTACTTTCATATAATCTTGAAGCGATGAAAAACGCTGTTAAAAATCTTATTTCGATAAAATTTTTTTTATGAATTAAATAACATGAACTTTTACTATAGCGTTATGTTCTTATAAAATAATTAATAGGATAAAATATCGAGATAAAAATCATCTTTTCTTCAGGAGCTTATAAATACTTTAAGACTCCTTTATCTTATCTTCATTCATTCATTTTAATATTGCATAGAAAACACTTAAGTTTTATTCGATAAGATCTTACAATTCGCGTATCATGCGATCTCTTCATGCTCACGATCGTCTCGTATCGCTTCTGGCTATAAGTTGCTCGATATTCTGATTTGCACATGAAATTGGATGCATCGATTTTTAGCGATACATTTATCGGTGGATAACTCGCGTTATCCGATAAGACAAATGCCGTAGGCGAACGACAAAAGTAGTCTAGATTAGAATTGGAACATTTAGATCGCACGATATCGCTCGGAAGTGCCTCGCGAAGGTACACCGGCCATTTTATAAAATCACCGTCCATCTATTCGGATCGGAAAATGTATTCAGTCTACTAAGTGATTCTGTTGAATAT